TCCACGTCTTCAGATATGGTTAGCAGTAGTTAAATTATTCCTATTTCATCACAGTCAGATTCTGCGTTTTTCAAACATCTATGCAGGCGCAAAAGCAACATGAACTCTAGAACCTATTCAATGGTTTGTATACCGAAAATTTCTCCTAGTTATTGCTAGTGTTTAGCTCATGGATCACCCTGAATAACTTTTGACCTAGTCATCTGATCTTCACGTTCTTGGACCCAATTTTAAAGGCTCGAATGGTATTCAAATATGCTAATTCATTAAAGCCAATGACATTTTAAGTTACAAATTAGGATTTTTGACCCCCAAAGTTTAATGGGCAGCTGCAATCTGGGGAATATGGTAGCAATAGTTAGGTCAAGAGAGCGGTTTAAAGTTTGGACCCCTTAATACTTTTACTTTTTGCGTATTTCGCTCTCTCGCTATATAATAACTCAATTATTTATACAAATTGAAAACTTTCGTACACAATTATAAAATTTGTTTATCCAAAAATTAATTCCATGTGAAAGATAACTTTTAGTGAATATTTATTATTTCATTTAATAATATTTGTAAAGATTTTGAATTGTGAGGTATACAATTTTTTACAATATTTTTAGGAATGTAATTTTACATGGCAAAATGCAAAATTTTAGCTAAATCGGTCGAATAGTTCCTGAGAAGTAGAATTTAAAAAATGTCAGATGCTTAAAATTTCAACTGAAAAGGACATTTTTAAACAATATAAAAGGGATAAAATTTTCACGTACGCGTCCAGTATTTTTTTTCTCAATAAATAATTTCTAAGACGTTTGAGGAAAAAACTCCCGTTGAATTCAAGTTATGCTGTTAATATCCGAGTTCTATAAATGTTTTATAACTTGAAACCGTTAAAACCGTCTTCGTTAAAGCTGCGATTATACTAGATCAGGACTTTCAGCTGAGAGTGCTTAGGTGGTAAAGAGATGGCATCAGAATTAGGCGAAATAGGTTCGAATCCAGCTGGTATACCTGGTTGAATAGAATATTGCTCTTTATTCGCACCAATCACACTGTTGTAAAACATCTTCAGTGTTATACGGATCAGGAGTTAGATCTCCCTTGCTGCCGATGTTCGTTAACGCTATAGCTGATTAGTTCCATCAAAAAGTTCTCCATAAAATTGTGCCAATGTTCGATTAAAAAGTTTCCTAATCTTCCGAAATTGGATTATAAGTTTATGGCTCTGTTGCTTAAAGCCAGTTCTTAAGTAAAATAAAAACAAGTGCTCGTAATAAACGCTGCTCGTAATAAATTATGTTCTTTAAAACTAGATAATCTCTGAACAGTAGGAATTTTGTCTATTAGTTATCACAATAATAAAAGTGGTTGATGCATTGAATAGTTAGGCACACTTATGAATTATTCATGAAATAGATCTCGGAATATTTAAGTGAGATAGATGGTAAGTGATTAAACTTTTTTTAGGGAAAAATACAAGAATATGATTAGAGTTCTTGAATAAATGAGGATTTATCATTGTTTTCTAAATGTTGATCACGTTTGAGTTTCAGTTAAGTAAAGTTCAGAAACTTTTATGTCAGATTTTTTTAAAATTCTTGAAATAATCGCATGGAATCTAAATTAGCTTCTTTATCCAAATCGGAGGATAAGTTAAACTTGCATATAGTGATAAATCGAAATATATTTTACTTACTTCTTAGTTTTTTTATGATAGTGCAGAATAGAAAAACTTTTATATTCAGATTTAAATAAGGAAGTAAAATTAACTTTATGCTTGTTTAGATGCTACTAGATAGTTGTTTCTTTATTTTTTTATCTTTTTGAAGTTTTGATTTAAAATTGAGAGTGAAAAAGTAGTAAGAGTTAACTCTAAGAAATAAAATATTATGATAGATAATTGGGATAATTTCCCACTTAACAATATCATGCCTCAAACTATTCTTAAAATTAGAGTGAGAAAATATTCAAGTAATTAAACTTTCTGATATATATGTAATAATTTCCCGCTTAGCAATATCATGTCTCAAACTATTTTTAAAATTAAGAGTGAGAAAATATTCAAGTAATTAAACTTTCTGATATATATTTGGGATAATTTCCCGCTTAACAATATCATGTCTCAAACTATTCTTAAAATTAAGAGTGAGAAAATATTCAAGTAATTAAACTTTCTGATATATATGTGATAATTTCCCGCATAGCAATATCATGTCTCAAACTGTTTTTAAAATTAAGAGTGAGAAAATATTCAAGTAATTAAATTTTCTGATATATATTTGGGATAATTTCCCATTTAAGAATATTGGAATAATTTCCCATTTAACAGTATCAAGCCTTTAAATATTTTAAAAACTAAGAGTGAGAAAATTGTGAAAGTGATAAATATTGTGATAAATATGTGATAAATATTGTGATAAATATTTGAGATAATTGTCAAATATTCTGATATATATTTGAGATAATTGTCAAATATTCTGATAAATATTTGAGATAATTGTCAAATATTCTGATAAATATTTCAGTAATTTTCCATTTAACAATACCATATTACTATATATTTCTAAAATTAAAAGTGGGAAAATGAAGTGTGTTTTGAGTGAGAAAAATTTGAATGTTATGTATAACAAAAATCTCATAGAAAATATGACTTACCAATTATAAGTAATTTGCTAGATTTTATATTGAGAGAAAAAGTTGGTGGTTTATAATAATGAAAACCAATATGAAAAATGTTCTCCTTATAAAGCCGTTATCTCAAAAAAGTTTGATGTTTTCCAGTTAAATGTAATGCTAATTTTAAATTAAGATCACTTATCATAACTAGCTTTAGGTTATAAATTAGTTATAGTCCTTTAAGGTAGGTAATATTGAATTGTTAATTTCAAAGTACTTCTTTTAGAAATATGATTTTAGAAAATAAGATTTTAGAAATTATGATTTTAGAAAATATGATTTTAGAATATATGAATTCAGAAAATAGAAAATGATTTTAGAAAATAGAAAATATGACTTACCAATTGTAAGTAATTTATTAGATTTTATATTAGAAAAAAAAAGTTTGAGGTTAATAATAATGAAAACCAATGTGAAAAATTTTTTCTTTACAAAATCGCTATCTCAAAAAAGTTTGATCTTTTCCAGTTAAGTGTAATGCTAATTTTAAATTAAGATCACTTATCATCACTAGTTTTAGGTTATAAATTAGTTATAATCTTTAAGGTAGGCAATATTGAATTGTAAATTTCAAAGTACTTCTTATAGAAATATGATTTTAGAATTCATAACTTTTTTTTCTATTAAGAGATTATCCTTCTAATTAAACTTGAAAAATGATTGTAAACTGCAGTAGCCATTTAAACATTGTTTCAACAATTTTTTTCTTTGTAACATTTAATTCTAATTAAAGAAAAAAAAGGGTCTTTTTTGTTGAATTCTTTTTTCTAAGCTTTAAATGTAAAACTAAACTGTTTTAAATAATGGGCAACTGAAATTAGGGAAGATTCAGAGCATTAATTTTTCTTTTTTCACCTTGCTTTTTTTTACCTTTTGATGGTTGTTTCGTTTCAAGAGGTTAATTGTAGTTAATGGATAAATTGTATGCAAACCATTGTCTTTATTGATTAAATACCGTATACATCCTTTGTATTCGGTTTGCAGAAGAATTAAAAGAGGAAGAACAAAAAAAAAATGTTTTCTGGCTTTTCTGTATAATTTATGAAAGCTGAGTTTTTTTTAATACTTTAATCCTTTAACATAAGGATAAGTAGCTTTAATTAAATGTTATAAAAATATTTTTATTATCTTTTTACTTTTTTTTCTTAAATAGTATCACTTCTATAAAAAAATGCAGCAATGTATCTAGGTTGTCTAAAAAAACTAGTTTTGAAATTTCCTAATATTCCTGCTAAGTAATTCAATTCCGGTTCTGTATTCAGGTAACAATTTAGTAAAAATTTGAGTCTCTTAACGGACTCTTCACAAAATAGTTTATGGTTAAAACAGACCTCTTGCATAATTTGTATCACAAATACGGTTCTTAAAGAAAAAACTCTTCTTATAACGGTTCTAATTCATAATTTTAAAACAAAAATTCGTTGAAAGACACAATTTTTTGTCTTCCTTTTTCTAAAAAAACAAAACCTTATTTTCACTTATTCACAAAATTCTGAATATATTTTTAACAAATACAGACCTTTCACAAAAAGTCTGAGAAAGGTTCGTATTTTAACAAACTCACAAAGTTAAACGCGTAGATGGTTCACGACTTCATGAAAACGGACCTTTCACGGATAATCCTTGGTACTGATGGATGATAGTATATCATATTATCGTTATAAATTACTGTTGAAATTAAAAAAACCTTTAAAAATACATTTAAAAAGTACTAACCATACTTTAAAAAGTTCTGGCAGTAAACATAACTTTTTTTTGACGGATTCTGATTTCTGACTCTCAAAACGTAGGGAGTAGCTGAAATCAAATCCATTCCAAGATCTTTTGATGCTGTGTCTCATAATTTTTTTTCTTCTTTTTTTTACAAACGGCCTGTACTAACCATTGGAGAACCGGTTTACATTATGTCTATATAAGCGAGCCTTCTTTTCATATGTATGTTCTCATTCCGACTCAAGCTTTTGCAGAGTGCGGTTGTGCTGTGACCAGCTCTGTGCGATTGAATCATGTCATCACGAACAGGTTACGGAAATTCTCCTCGTGGCCGGGGAGGAAAGACTATGTCTTACCGCCCCATACTCTAACGGGACTTGAAAACAGATGAGGAACGTTATTGCTTCCTTCGAAATCAAGGCAACCAATATACTTCTAAGGATATCTTAGATAACGTAATCAACTCCCACACGAAACTACCTAGAGAATACGGCGAGATCTATTTACAAGTCTACATGGAAAGAAGGAAAGAGCTCTACCCAGAGAAGCCTCCCGAGGGAGCAACAAAGCCTTGTGTCTCTGCCAATACAACTCCATTGCCTGAAACAACAATGCCTGAACAGCCGAGATCCCCGTGGAAACTCCTATAACGGACATCGAAGAAACAGAACAAGCTCCTGAGAACAACAGCATCACCCCTTCTAAAGAGACTGAACAAATTCAAGAGCCGATTGAAGAGGCCTCGACCTCCGAATCGGAAAAATCTACTAGCAACAACAACGAGCCACCGGCAAAGAAAAGAAAAAGGAAAAAGAGAAAGCCCGCCAAAGTCACGAAAACCACCACTAGCTCAACTACTACGACTTCAATCAGCTTATCTTCTCCTGAGTCCCTTTCCCAGCCGGAGCCTATGATTACATCTGAAACCACGGATGAGACACATAACAATGACAAAGAGACTTCCAAGAAAACTGAAAAAGCTCTGCCTCCAAAGAATGCCAAAATACTCATCCGAGGACTACCAGATGATTTCGATACCGAAGAAATTTCCCAGGAATTCGGGAAATTGGACTTAAAACTTCATAAAGTTATCCAGTTTAAGAAGAGGATGGAGGAGCCTATAGGCTCCTCTCCCTTTTCCTCATCATTGCACCAATCGCAGACCAGGATAGGATCTTCGCTATGAAGAGTCTACAACAGATACCCATCAGCACCGAGAGATTTCGTGGCCGCCGGCGGCCGCTACAATGCTTCAGATGCCGGGGCTTCGGTTATACCCAGCGACACTGATCCAATCAACCTAGATGTATGAAATGTGCAGAAATGCACTACTCATATCAATGCAAGAAGGATAGAAGTTCCCGTGCCAAGTGCTGCAACTGCGAGGGAAGCCACACCTCCAATTTCTCTGGGTGCGAGGCCCGTCCCAGTAGAAAAAGCTCCCAGCCTAAGGATACTTAAGTTACCTCAGCTCATCGACTTGTATCAATCGTGAAGGAGCTGCAGGAGATCTTGAAAAACCAAGAAGTGCTAAATTTACTTCAATCTCTACTCAAGGGGCCATCCCCTACAGAATAATGATCTACTACTGTGACATTAAGTCACAGCCTAATTTCTAAATATCCTGTTTTGTTAATCAAAATACTTATTTTTTTCGGCTTAATTTATAATTTTATGATACAACTTTTATTCTCTTCATCTTTTTCTTCTCGCCCCTTAACGCGTTAGCGCAATGAGGACATTTTCCCCAGGAAGTTCCTTGCACATTCCTCAGACACTCCTTTTCTTGGAAAAAGCTGTCGGCGTCGTTTGATGTAGCACGAGAATTTGAAGTCGACTGAAACTTAGCTTTGCAACGTCAATCAGAAGGTGAGAATAACACTTAAAAATAATATTGATAATACATCTCAACTTAAAATTTTACTTCTTTAATTCATACTTTCAGTACCTTGAGTACTCAACTCGGTTTTTTTTCCTTTTTGCTATAAAAGCCAGAGCGCGAAAAACGCTCGTGGCATTCGAATCTTCCATCCCCCCAACGATATACTTACTCCCTCGCGGAGTTTTTTTTTACTTCCCTCCTCTTTTGAGGAAAGGGTTTCGGACCTTACATGGCGCCGCAGTATACACCGCCATTGATGGACTCCTTCACAGCCATTTCTAGCTTTATTGTAATGCTGTTTTAATTTTTCAAAGAAAATCTCAAAAATATCGGCAGCTGTTCCCTTTTTGAAAAATTTTATGATTCAATCCTTTTATCAAGAATTCTTTTTGATTGAATACTCTTCTTTATGACGCACTAGCTTGGGATAGTTCGGTCTCCTGCTCCAGCTACCAATAGTACCCACATTTTTAAGATGTTGTGCCATTGATGATATTTTTTAAGATGTTGTGCCATTGATGAAATTTTTAAGATGTTGTGCCATTGATGATATTTTTTAAGATGTTGTGCCATTGATGATATTTTTTAAGATGTTGTGCCATTGATGATATTTTTTAAGATGTTGTGCCATTGATGATATTTTTTAAGATGTTGTGCCATTGATGATATTTTTAAGATGTCGTGCCTCACTGTGATAATTTTAAGATGTTTGCCTAGTAATCTCCAATAAACAACAAAGATTTAGTAAAAAGAACTGGACTACTTCATTTTGACTGGTTTTTGTTGTTGTTTTCTTCATAGGTACGGATAGCTTCTATGGAGAGGAGGTATGTCTTTTTTGTAGAATATATTGGTTTTTTTTCTGGGACTTTAAAAATTAATATTCCTTCTGGGTTGTAAAATTTGCAACACAACTCCAAAAATGTACCACTATATCGTTTCACCCGGCCATTAATTTTTCTTTTTCTTTTTAAATTGTTATCACTTGCTTGTTAGCAACTTTTCATTCCTTTTTTTATTTTATACCTAACCGTAACAGGGCAACTACTCCAACTCAAGCCTAACCCCAACAAGGACCTGATTTTTCGAACTTTATCGACATTACTATAGGTGCCCACGGGCACTATTATAGATGAAGTAGTGGAGTGTCCGCTTCGCGGACAGGTGCTACGTACATAACTTTAGTCTAAGTCTATGCATGTTCTTTGGCTGAAAGATTCACCATTCGACTGTAACGCAGAAGATATAGAATATTTGGTCCACCACCTTAGGCAGCTAGTTTCCTTACAACCCATGCTGAAGCTAAATAGCCATATTGGCAGATGAATCAGGAAATATAGTCCCCATATTTTAATCAGGAGAGCGGGACCTCTTAATGTTAATTTTTCTTTTTACGTATCTCGCCATTTCTCTTTTTTAGGCTAATTGAAAAATTTGCGCTCACAATCATAAAATTCGTTTATCCAAAAATAATTCCATGCAGAAAGTAATTTTTATTGAACATTTGTTATTATTTTTTAATTATCTTTTATTATTTAATAATAGTCGAAATTTTTTTGAATGGTAAGGTATACAGTTTTTTACATCATTTTAAAAACTGTAATTTTACATGATTATACACAATTTGAGAGAAACCAATCGAATAGTTTCTGAGAAACCAAATCTGCCAGGCAATTTTCCGGACAGTGTAAGGCGTCGACAACAATGCAAGACTGTGTTATATCATTATGTTTTTATGTTATGCAGAGAAATAAGAAATTCACATTCACAAATCTAATAGAACATTTATAACTAAGAGTAATAATTATTTGGAGCTTTTTATGCGATTGGATACTTGCAACTCGTAAAGAAATGAAGTGATTATAAATACCTAATCATGCGATTTAAATCAGATTTAATTGGATACCCATAAACGTCATCCCGCATGTGTGTCGAACCTGATTGGCATCTAAATTGAGAAATGCCACGATTTACCTACGAAGCAGGTATCTAATCGAGTATCAAATCGTCACTCAGATCTTCATGTAATTATATATTTCGTAATGCAGTTTTGTGTTCATCTGAGATCATAAACCATATTTCTGGTTCATTTAACAAGACTCTTTTATACTTTTGACATATATCAACCATGTAGTTGTTATTGGGCTATTAGTTGGGCTATTGGGTTATTAAATACTGGCCCGCTGAATGCTAGTACTTTTTACCCTAATTTGAATCGGAATTCTTTACAGTGCATAACATAAAAACGTAATGTCAAAAATGCAGATGGAATTTAATAGTAACTGATTGAAATTATTGGGTTTAGATTTTATTCCTATAGAATCGGGAATTAAATCTGTAAAACTAAATATATGTTACTAAAATAAAGTATTTTGTGATCTTTTAATTGAATACTCTTTAATTTAGATGTAACAATCGGTTCGTCGTCAAAAATAAATAAGTTTTGATGGGTTGGTGCCCCTAGTAAACTTTATTTACTGCAAAATAAAATACAATTCCATCACTAATTTTCTATAAAACTGTTGAATGACATGATATTTGCTAATAAAGGCCCGAAGGTGAAAAGGAACGCAAAAATATTAAACATTCAATATTACAATTAAAAGTAAGAATAAATTGCGAAATCATAATTCTATTTCTACTATTAAATTGTTAAAATTCTGGATATTAGTCAAGTACTAGTAAATTAAATCGTACTTTAATAACTTAACCATTTGTCGAATTTGACACTGAAAGTACATCAAGTGGTCATACACAATTTTCATTTTATTTCTTTTAGTCACTAAATTTAAGATTTTATTAAAACCTGTACTTATATACACCTCAGAATCATGGATTAAAAACTCAAAAGACGTTTATGTGCAATAGGTGAGCATTCGAAAGAACTTCGGTGCGGGTGTCCAGATTAACAACTATGGAGAAAGAGATCCAACCATGAATTTTACCGCCTTTATAAAGAACATGGCTTACCAATTCAAAGGGTGAAACGAGCTGACCATGTAATGCGATCACAGAATAAATGTACAGCTTGAAACATTTTTATGACTATGACACGTGGGAATTGGTCAAGGGAAAGACCAAAACTCAGATGGTCCGATTCTGTAGGCAAGAGCTTCCTCATACTGAACTTTATAATTTTATAACCGTCGTTGAACATCCGACTCCATTTTTTAGTTGACGACTACTAATGTTCAACTCCATAGCCTTGTAATTTTGAACCCAATTCAGAAGTCAAGGGAACTCTTTAATCATGTATTAGGAGAAATTCACCTTCGTGGAGGGGCTTTTTTATGGAACTAACCCGCATGTGCATGAAGTGGAAAACCACTGTTAGCCTGACGAGGGGACTCTAACCCGTAATCCGTTTAGCGCTGAGGATATTTTACGTAAACACTGTGAACCGTGAGCGCCGGGAGCGGAATTTGTTTCGACCAGCCATCGCTGGGATTCGAAAAAGGGGAACCTCATTGGGAAGCTAGTGTCCAACCCCCTGAGCCACCTCGACTCCCTTGTACTGAACTGTAAAAACTGGAGAGCCATTACTGAGATGAGGTCAAGTTGGAGGAAAATCACCGAGAGGGCCAGGGCCCACCATGGGCTGTCATTGCAGTAATGGTGATTAAAACTTGTGTTGAATAAGCAAAATATCTATAATATGTATAATATAAAATATTCCTGAGTTTGATTTAATTTGAATATTTAATAGAAATAAATACTAAAATACCGCAAGATTAATGATTATTTTATAAAGATTGCAACGGGTATATGTGAGGCACACTTTTCTCTAGCTAATGCTAGAGCAATGTGAGTTAGCAGTGGAATGCTAATTGTGTAATTTAAAAAAAAAGTAAATTACAAATAATTTCGCCGCAATTTACTTTTTTTAAAATTGCATAAAAGTTTCATAGCAATTTACTTAAAAAAAAAAATTAAAGTTCAAAGTAAAAATCACAGTTCTTAACATTTTAATATAATTTTACAGAGCTGAGGAGGCTCAGGCGATTGAGCGCTCGACTCCAATGAGGAGATCCGGATTCGAATCCCAGCGGTGGGTGATTAACACGAAATCCGCACCCGATTCTCGTCGTAACGTGAAACATCTTCAGTGGTGAACGGATCATGAGTAAGTGTCCCCTTCCCTTACGGCTAACCGTGGGAGGTTTTCGTGGTTTTCCCGACCATGTAACGCAAATGTGGGTCCCCTTGCCTACTGGATTGGTTTCCAAATTACAAGGCTACGGAATTGAGCATTGGTAGTCGTAAACTCAAAATTGGGTCAGCTGTTCAGCGTCTGTTATAAGAATGCAATTTTACGATTTCTTTTTAGAAAATGGTTTCGCAAGATGAACCCCGATAAAAGATTTTCAAATATATTAAAACTAAACTGAAGAATCATTTTCTGTTTTTAACTAATAGCAGATATTTGTATTGGCAAATATTTAAAACTTTACTCTTGAGATACAGAAGGTTGTGTAGAGTATTAATTTGAAGGCTATATTTTGAAATAACGGAAAATCTCATCGTTTCTTCTAATTTTAATAATAATAATTTAAAAAAAATGCGATGAGAGGCTTCCGTTTTTAATTAGTTTTTGGAAAATATATTGATATAGATTTCAATTTCAAGGAATGGATGGAAATGAAAACTCATTTTCCTTTGATAAACACGATTTTATCAATACGAGGAAATTATTTTTATTGGAATTATACTTAAATCCAATTTTTATTCTCCGTTTTTTGATTAAAAAGTATTGAAAAATTGCAACACAAAACTAATAATGACAGAAAAAATAATTAAATTGTTTTTGTTTTATTGTTTTCTGCTATTGTGACTTAAAAGACGGTTAAGGTTTATAGAAATAATTTTACAAACAACTAAACAGACGCGTATGGCTTATAAGTCAAGCCAAGTCGAGTTTAAAAAATTTAGTATATATATATATATATATATATATATATATATGTG